AATAATATATAATAATATAAATAATAATAATATTCAGTGAGTCACACCATACAATACAATCTTGTATTACGAGTCAAATATGATGCATGGTGGGAGGAGCAAAGTTATATTACTGTTCAGCGAGCAAACAAAGGGCCATCTCAGCATTTGCCTCAAAGGATCAAGGAAACCTGACAAAACTGACTCAGATGGTCATTGGCCTAGAAATACATACTTGTAAAAAAAAAAAAAAAAACAAAAAAAAAAAAAACAGTAGAATTAAGAATTATACAGTCGATAATTATCTGCATTAACATTCAATATGATATTTTTAATGCTACTACTATATTAATAATAATTAGCATCAATAATAATAATACATTAATTATAATATTACATAGTTATAATAATTACATTAATACATACATATTTCAATTATGGTTTGCAACTACATCAATTTAACAATAGTAGTACATTCTATATTTATAACTTGAAATGGTGAGGCGATAAGTTTGGACCAGCTTTTTTCTCTCTATTTCACAGGAATGTGATATGCAGTTCTTTTTTCTTTGCTTTCAGCTTGAAACAGTTCACATGAAACAGAAAGTCTAATGAATAAGAATCTCTTATTTATTATTATTACAATTAATATAAGACCAACCCCTCATACAAAAGAATTATAAGAGAAATTTCCTTTGAGACACGAGTCAAACAAAATACTTGTACTGGATACATATTTCAAGATCTACAATTTGAATTTTTTTTTGATGAGGATTATTTGGGTTAAAAGGGAATGAAAAGGAATCTTTTTTAAGAAAAATTTGGAAGCAATATGTTTAATGGTTGCTTTTTGAACAAATAAAATTGGTATGTAAATGAAAAGCCAACTTTCAAAAATTCAAAAGTCCAAAAATGATTGTGACAAAGCTTATTCAATAGCAATGGATCAAATAAAAGTCACCAAATTTCAGATACCAAAAAGTAAGTAATATGCTTTCCATGTTTGTTTTGTCAGAATAACTTGTTTTCATGTTCTTATTGGTACCTGAATCTCCAATAATTATTGGACTTTTTTTAAAAAAAAGAAAGTTGGATTTTGAATGCACCATATGATTCAGCATGAAGATTAAAAAATTTGCAAGATGCTAAACATATATAAGAAATATTTGAAATTAACAAAAATTACACATTACTCAAACACAACTCCCAATACTAACATTTGGCAAATCTTCTAAAATACATTCTATGAAATACTATATAAAAAAGCATGGAAATATAACCTTTCTTCATAAAGGCATCAATATGGTTAAGTACTCAATAAAGATTTGCAATCACAATATAAATGATATCAATCTTTCTAACATAACTTTCTCATACAATAGAGTATTGCAAGAATATATACATATACAAGTATATAAAAGATACATAACCAGTTTATACATAGTAAGCTACAAGTCCACATGTAAAATAAACTTCTTTCAAATGATATCTTTCACAAGGCATGAAACTGCAAATTTTATACACATCAATATTTCAGCATTAAACAATATTTCTTATATTTCATTACATCAAAGAGCGGGGATTCAAAAGTCAAGGAATAAAAAGTGTTAATAGAAAAAATTGTTAGGAACTGACATCTCACAAATTATCAACATTTGTTTTATAAAGTTGCAGTCATAGTATTATCATCTGTTAGGAAATTCTTAAAGGTTTAACATACTGCTATCTTCTAGAATGTTTACTACATTAATAAAATTGACCTTTGTTATGGCACACAAATTCACTCTTTGGTTCTGGAGGGTAAAAAGTTTCCAACTTCGAAATGTTGTTAGTATTATTCTACAAGACACACTTTTTACAAAATTTCTGAATAACACCTTATGCATACTTGCTACTGAGAATAATTCTCTTACACTTCTTTTAATTGTAGTATATTTATTGCATTTGGAAAAATTCATCTAATAATTCACTAAAATTTCCATGATGCAAGTTTTCAAAAACAAATATACATGAATATTCTCTGAACAGTGAAACCACATATAAGAAGGGGGAACAAAATTGTATTTGCTACAATGCAATTGGATTAAACATGTAGTACAGTTTGTGTGGACTTGTTTTTGCAGTTTGGTTGCTGAGGGAAGGCCGGTAGCCAAGTTCAAATGCCTGCTGACTATATTTAACTTTGCCTAAATTTATACCCAGCACTTCTTGAACTTCACAAAAATTCCATGTTGGCAGATAAGTTATAAAAATACCTATATGCACGTATTAAATGAGCTGATAAACAAAATGGTTTTAATAATAATAAAATAAAGATTCATTTGTTTATAAAAGACTTAAGGCACTTAATAAGATTTAGAATACAACTCTCTTCTTATTTACCTATCATGCAAATTTTCTCCTATATATGCACAGCAACATTTCTTTACACTATTTTCATTACTTACATAAGTAAATCCATCAAAAACAATTTTAGTGGAAATATTAACCAGCAAAAATTATACCAAAAACAGACTTGCCACTAAAACAATACTAGGAACTGGTCACATTTTTTTTACCTATTCTAATCTCCCTGCATAGGAAAATACATTAATTGCATTTGGAGACTAGCTTTCACAACATGTGTTTCACAGAATTAGAACTCACTTATGAACAAACATATTCTAATTCCTAAAACTTCAGACTTCCTTGAATGTTGTAAATGAAAAATACTATGAACTTCTGACACACAAGACTATTAATTAATATACTTAAAAGATAGTTCAACTTATATTGCACCTGAGATTACGTGCTTAGAATTATATTCATATAAACTATTAACTTCACATGATATTGAAACGAAGATACAAGAATGAACAGAATTTAAAACATCAAAAGTAAGTACATTAGAGTGTCATTTCTTTACAATCTAAATTCTTCTAGCCTTCATAGCAAGATAATGAAACTTTTGAAAATAAAACCTATAATTTATTATTTTGAACCACAGAATTGTTAGTAATTAAAATATAATGATACATATTTGAAATGTAAACTCATACAAATTAGTGGACATAACAAATTGAAAAAAATTTTATGGAATGGTATATTGGGTCATAATGAGTTTTTTCAGACCACAAATTGGAGGAAGAGGGAGTCGCAAGAAAGCAAAGGGTGCATGGTAATATACATGCTGTATTTACTTGGATGTAACACAAGTTATTTTCTAAATATCTCATTTTAAAAAAACAGGATTATCTTATAATCTTACATACCTAGGCAGGTGGGGGGTCTTTATTTACATTGTCATTCTATGCCAAGAAACTCAAATGCTGATATAAAAAGCTGCAAAAGCTATAAAAAACCACACCTAAATATAATATCTGATTATATTCACAAACATATTCTTGGCATTCCCCGCAATTCCATCTATCCCAATTTACTATAGAATTCAGACCAATACTTTTAAGATAAAATAAGATCAGATCAGAAAAAAAAATATCAAACAAATAACCTTGTAAGTGAAAAGCAATGTGAAAATGAATAAATCACAGCAAGATTTTGTTTTATAAAAAACTGATTAACAAGGCCATGTGAACTCATGGTTTTTGATCCCCACCCCCCAGTCCGCAAAACATTTTGAAGAAAATCAAAATGAAAAATTAATTTCATTCAATAATTTTACATCATACCACAGATGTGTAAAGATAAAACAATTTCTTATCAAAGCAACCCCATTGTTGGAAAATTTGCCCCTCTTTCGTGGAACATAGACAAGGATATAAGTTTGCAGCTCACGGCTTGAGCACACTAACATTAAACAAATTTCAAGTTGTTATAAAAATAGAGGCCATGAAGCAGAGAACCAACAAGAAAATCTGTAGACATAGATGGGAATCTTCCTAGAAGGCACCAGATGAAAAATAAAGAAAGCCTAATAATCCTGTATAACTTTTAAGAGATTCCTGTTGTTGTTGTTTTTTTTTGGGGGGGGGGGGGAGAGAATGTATCATAAAGAAAGAATGATACACGTGAAGATGGAGATGGTAGTGACAAAAATGATGACGATGATGATATACATGAAACAAATACAGTGGCCACTCGGGTAAAAATATTTAAACTTTTTACTAAGACAATTTTAGTCATAAAGAAAGTTTGTGATTTTATTGACTGAATTGTAATAAATAGTAAAATGGTTAATAAAACAGTCAGGAGGCCTCTTCAAAATTAAAATTGTCTTATACTCAATTGTCTTGCCCATATGTGCAGGTAAATACAGCATTAAAAAAAGAAGAAATAGGAAAAGAAAAAATAACCGAAGTTACTTTCTAAAAGGTGTCATCACACCCTTTCTGTAGCCTTCTGCAGTAATACCCCAGCGATTTGCATTTCTCACAAAGGTTCTGGGGATGCACCTTAGATTGGTCGGAGACATCCAACCCATCAGGTTTTTCAAGTGGTCTCTGAAAACAAAATTTATGATAATATTCACATTATTGTACACTATTAAGTAATTACAGAATTGAAAAGCTTGAATATCATCTGGAGTTTCCATTAGAAGACTAAGGCAGTACTTTTGATGAAGGATAGGTGTCTTGGAGGGGGGAGGAAAGAAAAGTCCTCCTCACATATTTTCTTCTCTCAAATATAATTTCAGGGGGGGAATTTTGCTTTAATATTAAAGGAAAATTGCTATTTTTTTAAAAATGAGGAAGTTGACTATAGTTTTAAAATACATGTGCTTTTAAACAACATCAAAATTATCCAAATCCCTCTGAGAACTGGACATTGCACATCACCCTCACATGAATCATATCGCTCTGGCAAGAGCCAGAGCTATTTGGGCCAAAGCTAGCATATGGTGTACTCTCAAGGACCATTCACAACAAAAACATAAGCATAAGCATGGCGTTGCCTGCAAATTTCAAACTTCTGTGCTTATGCTTAAGAAAGACATAAGAAATGAACCAATCACAGAACGACAATTCAAAATCGAGAATCGAAATTGTCAGTCAATACATTGAAATCGATTCTCACATCCAACCAATAGTAAACCAGAATGTCTCACAGCCAATACTAACTCTTATTTTGCTTATGTTTATGTTAGACATTGTAAATACTTCAGTCTATCACTCATGTTAATGTTTGTCTATGCGCCATTCTTAAAGTTTGTGTTTGCATTGTGAATGGGCCTTTATACTGTGAAAGTCAGAGTGAAAGGGCAAACTGAATCAACAGGTCTCTCCCACTTAGCCCATTGCAATCCGACTAGTGTAATCCAATTTATAAGTTTAATTTCTGCAATTGACTTCTTTCGTTCTCTTAAAAAACATACAAACTGTTACTGCTTTGATGCTGTGAGGTAGTATCTTGAAAATGTGTAAATGTGAAAAATGATGATATTTTGTAAGACCCCAAACTTCTGAAGAATTTATGATGGTTTGAGAGTAAGTCTGTAAAGAGGGTATGACAGAATATAAGTGTGTTCATGTATGTAAGAGAATTTGCTCACTATCAAGACTGTGTGGCAGTACATCTAGTGGTTGGTGAGAGATTTGGCAGTACATCCAGTGTGAGCGACGGGGTAAAAAGTATATACTCGTCTGTCCAGGAGATGCCATGTCCTAGGTACAGATGCCAACTTGTCAGCCACCATGCAGCAACTTTCCTCGGGGTGAAATGATAAAGGTTCCAGCATGAGGGCTAAAACATAGGCATCTGTGCCTAGGACACAACATCTCTAGGTTAAGTAAGTAGATACTGATTATGGCCATGGATAATTTTTATAAAATTAAAAAGATTAGCATTAGATAACTTTCATAAAATAGAATTTCTTCGGATTTGGTTATCTTCACAGCTTCATTATCAGTCATTTCTGCTATTGAAAATATCAAATCTAAAAATTCTCTTATTCAAGAAATCCAAGAACGTACCAAAATAATTGCAATGTCACTCTTTCAAGGATCCCTTCCCCTGAGGTATTAAGGAAAACGAAGATACAGATACAAATAAGCAAACAAATCATTCCAAACTTCCTTTTCCCAATAACTCCGTCTCTGGTTCCCTTGATGACTTTAAAAAACTCCTATTTTCAACATTATGACTAAAGGATTTGAAATGGAAAACAAAACGTTCAAAATTACATCAAGTGGGAAATAAAAATCTGAATCCTTCACTTCTCTTGAAGTTCACAAGAAAGAAAAAAAATAGTAATTTTATCAAGACTCTGAATTGGCTATTTCACGGCTGAGTCACAGTAATTTATTTAAAACGACAAATCCAGAAGTGTTCAAACTTTGTTCAAATTATTTCTACATCAAATTTGCCAGTTGAATGTCCTTTCATAAGTGACCTCAGCAAAAAACTCAAATTTGATACAGATGTCCATTTTATGTTAAATTCTACTTAGTAGTGTCACAAAGTTATTGAATTTCTGTGTGTTACAAAATTAGAAAAATATAAATATTTTCTTTTATGTAAAACATTTTCAATGCTTATAATATTGACTGTATTTAAAATTGAATGTTTTAAATTGTTAATAGACAATGATATGAAAGGTAATAAAAAATGTAAAATTGTAAATCAGATGGTGATCACTGATGACCACAAGTAGCACAGCAATCTAAAATAAAATAAATAAATTAACAAAACCGGAATCTTAACTCACTTGTTTGTGCGGATATACATTGATATGGCACTTAATGCATTCTTGACCCATGTTGGCCCAGCTGTTCCCAGACATCCACTTCCTTTTGCACTTTGGGCATTTGTATTCACCAAAGCACCGCTTCTTTCCTTGATAGGGAGTTAAACCTTCTCCTTTTGGTCGTGCCTAAAACAAAAGACAGACATTATTATCAGTTACCAGAAGATGAAGTTTGATTTTTAGTTTAGATTTCATTCATAATAATAATAATAATAACAATAATAATAATAATAATAATAATAAAGAATAAAAAAAATCTCTCACTGATTCAATGGCCAACAATATCGAAAAGTAAAATTCTGTCAAGCCACATCCATTTTATCTCTAATGAATTTTAATTTTTTCACAATCATTTCATACAATTTGCAATTCCCTTCAAAAAGTATATCCCAGATTAATTGATATTTATTTTACAGTTTAAAGAAAACATTTAGAGCCATTATTGGGAAATTCTTATTTTTGATATTTCTATATATGCATGTAATTCATGCAACATTGTGTGTGAACTACTAAAATTTTCAAAAAAATACATAGCTTTAATGAAAATACTACTTATGGAGAATATTTCAATTAAAGAATCTTGATCTTCAATTTTGGAATTGTAGGAAGATGCTAAAAATTTTCAAACTTTGACAATTTTCCAAAATTTAAAGTTAAAGAAAATTAGATTTATGCCAGATAAACATATTTTGCTCTCTACTTATAAAAAATTAAAAAACAAAGTTGCGATTTTTAAGAAAAAATTGAGAATGTCCTATGAGCTTCAGGTAAAGAACTCTTAAAAGTTAATTAATGTTATTCAAAAGCACATAGCTTAGTCAGATAGATTTTTTTTTTTTCAAATGAAATTTTCTTGTTCATAATCAGTTTTTTTGATATGACCCTGTGCATTTTTTGAAAATTTAAGTAGTTTTCGAACAATAATGTGTGCAATATGTGCAATTTAAAAAAATTACAAACACAAGAGTTCTCAAAAACCTCTCCATTTTTTGCTTTAAATCTTGGGAGGGTAGTGATAAGTGTTCTCTATAAAATGACAAATGCCATGTTGCTCTATTCTTTTGTTTTTTCATAAATTACAAAAATGTATTTTTTTAAATGTCTATCACATCATTACTATATACATTACTGGTAATTTGTTCATTTTAATAAATGTATGAGTACATGTTTATGAGTACTATGAACTTAGGAGTACAAAAATGTCATAAAATTAATCGGAAACTCAACAATTTTCTGGTAAAATAAGCTCAAAATTACGCATTTTCAGAAACGTTCATATGCCATTTTCCTTAAAAGGCAATTTTTCTTTCCGGGTAGTGCTAATGGCACTGTTTAATAAAGCATAAAATTTATATTTTGTTCTTTTGTGTTATAAAGTAGTACAATCTTTTTTTTTTTTTTTTTAATATCTCTCACACCATAATTATGCACATTTCTAGCGATTTGTAAATACTATTGCATGTGACAAAGTGATCGAAATGGCTTCATATGAAGTTTTCTGTGAAAAGAGTTTCAAAATTCGCATCCACAGTAGCACCATTTTTTAAAAACATTTCCAAACCTTTTACTGAAAATTGCCATTTAGGACGAGGTTTTTCTCTTTATGGATATTCGTTAAATAATAATAAAGTTGAGAAAATTAAAAAAAAAAAATATAACTTGGGTGGCGATAGATGGCAGCTGGCAAGAGAATGGGGCAACTCAAAATAATTAGTCCTGACCAAAGAAAATATAAAACTAATACGGGAAAGTCTGTGCCAGTCTGTTGCACCACTAGTTTTTACTGAGCTATAATTTATTTTCACTTCTTGTATTTATAGGGGGTGTCGCACAATTTACGTACTTATTTAGGGGTGCGCTACAGGGGGAAAAGAGGGTATTCAAAATAACCCAAATCTGCGTTACGCAATTTACGGACGGACCCTAAACAGATTATATGCGCAAGTTTTCTTGAACGCCGGGATACCTACCCCCACACCTTGAATATAATTTCTGAATTACAAATAAATGTTAGCAAAGAATGTTCTCAAAATCTGATAACCAGAGTTCTTATCTCCCACGATTTTGAAATTAAAAAAACGCACTGCAGATTCGATATAATAGTCCTGTCGTCGAAATAAACCTCGAATTCCTCTCGCAGTGAAGGAAAAGACGACAAGAAAAGTACGCTGAAAATGTTTTAACGAGCGAGGTTCCCCCTTCCAGCGAACTTCGGCGCAGACTCACGATGTAACTCGAGCGGTTGCAGAGCTCTTTCATCGCTATTATTACCACCTGTAAGGTTGGATCAGAAGCATCTGTTGTTCGGGGCCGCATTCTCCTCACCACTTCCTGTGCGTCGTCTACGAGCCCGTCTACCTCTGCGGCGGCGTGACATATTCTTCACTACACTGGCCCTTCAGTCGTGCTACACGTACAATGTGCTTGTCGAACGAGTTCCTTATAGGTACAATACCCAATATTGGCACTATAAGGGCAAACCAATATATATATATATATATATTAATTAAGATTATATAATTAAAAAAAATCGACGGAGACGAAATTTGGAGCGACTGCACACGACACAGCCTGCGCTTCAGGACTTCTAAACCGAATGACCACCCCCAACGGGAGCGCTGTTGCAGAGTCGACCTGGTGACGCAATCCCGGTGACCACACGGAGCGCAGACAGCGAATCCGCTGTCTCCCTGGCAGGCGCGACCCGATCCTCTCGCTCCCGGAGTGACAGCGAAAATGTCGAGCTTGTTGCGACATCACATCTCCCTTACACGGAAGTGTAACGGATTTCAGATGACATTGCAACGACGTTTTCGTGAGTCCATGTCTTCTTTCCGAAATTGGGTATCAGAATTTTGAACTATCAAATCAAAGAAATATGTGCCGGTTTGTTTTATTGCTATTTACAGTACTGCTGCATAGAAAGTTTAACTCTAGAGCGCTTTTGCCTGCGAAAGCAGGGGGCGTTTTGTTCGCGATTTTATTATGAACAATAATTTCTTTTTTTTTACTTTTTTAACCATTTACAAACATAATTATTTTATTATTAATATTAGTATTATTAGTAGTAGTATTAGTATTGTTGTTATTATTATTGTTATTATTATTATTGTTATTAATATTATTATTATTGTTGTTGTTAGCGAATGAGCCATTTCTGACCAGGCTAAACGTTCTCTTCCGAGGCCCAGTCATATTCTATACTGGAGAGAGATTAACGTGTGTTATTATGGGGATAAGCTTGGTAAGTCAAGGTTGATAAGCCTTAAAATATGAGGAGATAGGATGATGATCGGAGGTGATCGTGGCCTTTTTAACCGCCCCAGCATTCTCTTGTGACAGGAAAACCACGAAAACCCAGGTCGGGATGGTCGGCACGGGGATCGAACCCGGGCCTCCCGAATGCGAAGTCAGCGCGCTACGCAAAAAACCACTTTGCTTATCCTCACCTCACCTTGTCCTATCATCCTATCCTCGCCCCCTTATTTACATACACAGTTGCAGTTACGTGCACTACTTACAGGCACTACTCTAACATACATGCCGGGACACCAGACGGGAGCTTCGAGCTAGTCCAGGCTGGGGCAGTGACCCGCTGGAGGGAGATACCGGGAAAAGGAAAACCCTGCAGCGTACATGTAGGTCGGCGCCGGGTCTCACCATCCAGGGGTAAGAGACTAAAGAACACCGCCACCTCCCACGATATAACATTCACTCTATAGACGGGACAAGCAACCATTTTTGATTGGTTTCCGGGCACGTCGATTCGTCAAGTCCCGTCAGTGTAGTGAATTTTTTATCCCGGTTGATGGTGTTTCTCCTACTGGATAGGAAAATCCGGCGTCGACCTTCAGCTCGGCTTGCAAAAAACCGATCTACATAACTGCTTTCGAAGGGTTCCGACCCAGCCAGACCAAGCACTATGCTCTCCCCACTTGTGCCGACGATAGATAGTACAATGCATGTACGTCCGTGAGTACGGAGAGAGAATAGAACAAGTGAGAAGGAAAGATAGAGCGAGCTACGGGGTCCGTTCCTTAGGAAAATACTCCAGCGTTTGCCTGCTAGTGATAAATAATAAAACACGTAAAACATCATAGTTGTCGCCTGAAGTCTCGAGATAACGCCTGATTTCATCCTACTTAGGCAGCGTCAGAAATTCACTAGTATTTTTTAAGACATATTTGCTTAAATAATTCCTTTTATTCGGTCTCGTATCAAAACATTACAATATTAAAGAATTATGTTTGAAAATATAAATAAATTAAAATGTTTTGGTGTATAAATTATTGCAATATATTTTCATCAAAAGCAAGCATATTGATTGAATCTAATAGTTTACGAAGAAAATAGTCCCAACTGAATCTACAGTATCCAATTGAATCCAATAAATTGACGCAGTAGTGTTGCTATCTTCCACGACGGCGTGTGCATGATGTGACAAATTTTCTTCCCTATGCGTCCTTACTAATTGCCGCTATCTTATTGTAAGGCGCAGACAGCATCAACAACTAATTTTGGTTTTAATTATCATAAATTCTAATATACAACATAAATACAATTAATACAAAGTGATTTTACTTATGTACTTTCACTGATTATAAATGGCGGGGAGGGGTTTCGCAAGCGTTACATAATTATTTAGAGGGGTGAGTATGCTTTATAGGTGCATACGGGGGGGGGGTCCAAAATACTCCAAAATTGTGTTACGTAATTTATGGGCGGCCCCTACCGTAAACCAAGATTTTATTCCGTTCTTCACTTCGAACACAGACTCTGGTTTGCAGGGGCAGATGCAACTCGCACGGTAGTTCCCCCTGAAGCGACCTGGAGTGCAGCGTTCTCTTGGCAACGATCTTCACACGTTCGGAGATTTTGTGCTTGACGTTGAAGCTCTGCCAGTATGCATTAGCCGCGACGAGCTACTATGTATCAGCTTTTCAGATTCTATCGTACTATGGCACGGAATGCGATCTAGCAGCGTGTTCTCAAAGGAGCGAATTGGTCGTTTTCTTTGGAGTGAAGCGGTCAAACTTACAGGGGTGGGGGTGCGTAATGAGAGAAACAGTATCTGGTCACGCACCACAGCATGGAGAAACCCCAAGGAAGAACTTGGGGAAAAAGAT